AGAATTTTTGGCAATCATGGCCTCACATTGTAGCAAGTGCCCGACCTCTATAGATTATGTTGTTTTAGAGCATGGGTCATACATGTCCCTAGGTGAGCTCCCTCGGTGCGCATTATTTGCCCAGGCAAGTATTAGATGGAAAGAAGTAAAGGATGGTCAGACGAGAACCTGACATGAAGGTATGAATGCCCTGATCAGGGGGCCTAGTCATATAGGGGACCTTAGGATTAGCGTGATCGATGGTTAGAGACAGCACGTGATATGTCTGAATGACGTAAAAAGTGGCGTCTATGCAAACACTTAATTTCTTTGTAAACTTAGTCAATCTGAATTCTCCAACTTCACACTAATACTGCCTCTAGCATTCCTATCTTTCCTCTACTACCTTATCCGAATGGGTGACCAAAGACAGCAAATTAAACCACCATAGGAAAGTGCATGGTTAATGATTGTATAGACTTAAATGGAACACTGCCACATACGAGAAATGAAACGTTTCGACGAATGAATTTCCCATATTCCAATCGCTCGTCACTCGAGTTTACATTTGATGTATTTAATGTCCGGCTCCCGATACCGGACGCCGGGGGAAAATAAACAGAGTACAAATAATGATATGAAAATACAGAATCGTCAACTTGAAGTTTTATTTTCGAACTTCAATCTCGTATCCATGGGGTAAATTGTAGATCAGAATGGATGAGAAACGGTTGGTACAACCTAGTTCAGTTTGTGCGAGAAGCGGGGGGGGGGGCATTTTCACTCACCTTGGGTGTAAACTACCGAGGACCGAATTACGGCAGAACAGTGAGTTAAATCGGAATGAAGCACTAGCGTATTGAGGTTCACTGCAGACAGACATATCTTATTGAGACCGGAATACGTGGAGGGAAAACGAGATTAGCGTAGAGCAGAGAAATCAGATCTACTCTAAAAAGGGGAGTGCAAAGACTATCCCCAGGGGAAAGACATAGTTTGATTCGAGTAGGATAAAGGGAGAACACTCACCAGAGTTGCTCACGCCAGTCATCGTATGGGATGAGTGCAATTCATCCGATTTGGGCTTGATCTTATTCATTGCCGAACTGCAATGGAACAAAATAGACGAAAATGATGTCACTCTCTTTCGCGCATAGCTTAATGAGCAGAAAAACCGACATACGGTGAATTCACGTCGAAAGGTTGGTCGTGAAAAGCAGTTTACATTACTCACAAACAACCTCTTTTGGAAAGAAACTCATGAAGAATTTAGGGAGGTGACTGAGAAACCTAGTGAGGCACTACATGCAAAGTGGAAAGCGAAACCCGGCGGCGCCACTGCCCCAAAACGCATTGCGTTAATGAAAGAGCTTGCGAAATAAACGACACCGAAATACACTGTGCCTACCGACGCTTGGAACGCGAGCGAGAGCATTCTACATCACCGGTTAAGCAGCCTTTAATTCTTGGAAAGTGCACCCAGGTGTCTATTCCCGGAACCGGCCACAAAAACAGAGATCTGAAGAGAGCTTCATAATATACAGAACTATAAGCCATCTCGATCAGACAAATATAAATGCTGGTCCTTTTTTAACCAAGCAGGAAAATTCACCGTAAAAGTTTATTTTTTATAAAGTATGAGGGAAAGCAGTACTTTCTGTGTGATGGGAATTTATTGTTTCAGCAGTTTTCAAGAACGGCTGACAGGATATTTGATTCGGTCACATGGAGGGAGGAGGAGGGGGGTGCATGAGCGTGTGGAAACGAACAGCGCCGAAATAGCTAGTGTTTCTTTTACTGTGCATACAGATTCAGATTCGTGAAAGAAGCATTCAAGTGGAGCAGGCCAGGTTCCGTGAAAGCCCTAGTTGCACAGATCAAATCTTCGCCCTGTGTCAACTGTTGAAATAACCGTCACAGATATAGACAGAAGACAAGTAGTTGCTACGCTTTTCGGCGTTGGAAAGGCTTTCGATTTAATCAATCTGTCTGCTGACATACCAAGTACAGGAGAAGCATTTCCGAATCCTAAAAACACTCGATCGCCACACCTCGAGGAGGGTTGGTGTTATGACAAGCTGTCACCCTCGCTTAGCGGCACCAGCGAGGGATGACAGGATTATCCAGTCTGTACGATTCTTTCCAATTTACCTATAAAGCATGTCCTGTAAACAGTATTGCTTAACACAGCGGACTCTGGTGTCAAGCTCCGCGTCCTGGAGACATAGCTGCAGACTTGGAGCATACCGATCATATAACCTCTGCACGGCCGTTGCTCTCCTACTGAAAGTTGGATGTATAGTTTTATACACAATGAGAAATAAAAAATGAAGTAGTAACCATTTATATTTTTTATTTTATTTACTCGGCAAAAACCTACAGGCCGTGCAAGATGGGCTAAACGACTTAGCATTGAGCAAATGAAGTCAGATGATGTCTTAGGAGTGGACAGAACTCCGTCAGGCGAATCCATTTCACTGTAGGGATCTGAGGTGGTGAGGACACGTCCTAAAAGTGCCTGGAAAATTGCACACCTTGCTGGATACGATTATGAGAAATAGCGAGTGGACAAGCTATGATGTGATGGGGAAGGTCGCAAAACAGCTTATGTCCGGCCCCGGTTTTTCTCCAGGTATTCTGGGTTTCACATTGTTAGCTGAAGACGATACGGAATATCGCACTGGAGTGTATTTTAACATATTTTCTAGTCCAATTATGAAAGGACTAAAAATAAAAACTGCGTGTAGTATTGCGTCATACCCACAAACTTATCCTTAGTTAGTTATTTATTGTTCTGATTTTGCTTCATACTTCTCAACCCATGAGAATTTTGGGGTCTATCTCCACAGTTTATATATATATATGTATACATCACGTGATATTTGGTCATTACGTTTATCGCAAGTATCAGAAGCCTGAAACATCAAGCCCAATTTTATTGGACGTCGCTGTATCGTGCGCAACTGGAGACGGACAATCCTGGAAGATTTTCATAAGTATTCGACATGAATATTCGGATATCCATGCGCACTACTAACAAGTAACATAAATTTCAAATGGGAATTCGTCGTGTATATAGCAAATGAAGCGAGAACTGAAAAGCTCGGAAGCACCGGTTTTGACCTGGTTGGGTTTCATCCATTACCCATATGAAGTAACATAAATGAGGAGACGACAAATGGGAGATCACGCTCACCGATTTTGGGGGTTTGTGACCGCACCACGTAGATGTGTGCCATTCATATCTTTGGAGACCCGTGAGATTCCTGAGAAAAATATTAACAAAAAAAGATTAAGCATGTCAGTTCTTTAATGTGGTAAGGATCACGGTACCGTATTCAGCAAAATAGAAAATATTTACGCAAACTCCGCATGCGAACGGTTATTCCGAACCGTTCTCGTCACTCATTGGTAGTGTGAATCTGTAAATAAACATGGATCATGAATGTGGAACGCCAGGAGAAATTCAGAATCGATGGATATTATGGGTACTTGATTGAAGCTGAAGTAACGCACCACACCTTGCATCTTAACCTGACAAAACAAATTTTTAGGGGGAAACATGGATAGAAAGGTTGACCGTCCCGGTCAATCTGAATTGGTTCGAGCGATTTTAGTTTGTTTACCCGATATGGATTCCACAAATAAATGACTGTCATTCACCGTGCAAAAAAAACATGAACACAGCAAGCCATGTTTCTGTCGGATCGTCATTCACTGGCCAATATATGACATCTAACGACAGGTTTGCAACAGATGCTACTGACAATTTCGATGAGGGACATGACACTACAAATGTAATGGTGGCCATGGAAGATCGCGTTTAGAAAGCATAACGAGAGTATACATTGGGTTCGATCAAGATTTACGTCATTTCCAAACCTTTTAGATTGAAAGCTAAGGAACGAGTACAGAGGGATAAACAGCTCATCCCAATTTTCAACACGAAGGTTGAATCCACGAGGTGTGAAACAATCGAACTAATGAAGGCTGCTCCGCTATGCTGATACTCACAAACTCATTCCGATTAGGAATTGCGTACATACAAATACTGTAAAAAAAATCAAAAAAACGTAAGATAGACCAATGCTGCGGATTTTCCTTTCCTTATCTGTACTCCGCGGTATTGAAGACAGTAACTCAGGAGTGCTGATCCCTCGCAGAAGATAGAGATACGCATACCAGATTCTTTACAGCAATAGTGGACTTTTGTTTGACGGGAAACGTAAATCAAATGCTGTTCTGAAGAATAGCTAAAACACACTTCATTTCACAGCTAATTGTACCGCCTGTAAGAAGTCCCCATGCCATGAGTGATAGACTTTGAATCAGATCGTGTTTCATTCCACTGAAAAAGGCCCTTCAAAATAAACACACACCAGACACTCCGAGACTAGTACGATAAATCCACAAGGCCAGCACCAAACTGAGAAGTCGTTCATTGGAAGAACAAAATCGCCTGGAGGGCGGGGGGAAAGCAGGCTACGCAAAACGAAACCGGCGATCAGAAAAAGACCAAGTCAGCGTTTCATGAAAGGCTGTGGATCAATGTTCGAGAAGTTCGACATTCTTTGTACATCTTTTGTTACAACAGTAAATCCACTGACCGGCTCACGAATTTCCCGTCCATTTTTGAATACCGTGAGAATCCGCAGACTACTTTGTCATACTAGTCGCATAATGTGAGTAGCACCTCACAACACTCGAAAAGTGAACAATGTGTAATGCTATTTGAGTAGAGGCAAACGGAAGCATCCTGTGGAAGCACCACATCAAAGCATCGAGAACTGCTTGTAATGCGTGCACATCATGGTCCGACTGAATTACTGTCGACATTTTCAGGCCATCCGCATATAACTGGCATCAGGAGTTGGTAGGACCCTGATATAGAGACCAGGAACAATGTTGGTCCCAATACTAACCCCTGTGGAACACTGCTGGAAGCTGATCACGGGGAAAAAACTAGGTCAGTCGCCGATGGGAAAGAAGTCATTGAGCTTCAAGGTGGAGGAGAATAGGCTTGGACACCAGTACCTTGCATGGAACATAAGTTAGTTAGCCAAAAACCATAATTCCAAACCAACTGAGAGGAGGCGTATAAACCACAAACACACAAACACAAACCTCCCCAGTTGTGACAATGGTCCCCGGCATCGAACTTTATTGGACGTTTGACCCAGTCCGAATAATGATCCGATGAACTGGA